GAGATTTGGAATGTAGTGAGAAATGATTACTTGGTTATAAGACTACAGAAAATTATTTTCCTCTTCTAGTTGATGTTTTCCTTTATCGGGATCATCAGTCATAAAAGATTGCTTGAATATATTCAATAAGAAAAATTCAACTGAAATTTAGTGCATATTTTGTAATTATTATTGCTTTTATAAATTTATATTTTGATACAAATATTTGATGCATACACTGTCATTCAGTGTGAACATATTGCTTTCTAAGTAACAGTTTTAGTGAAATTGGAAAGTTCAGTATCCGGTTACTAATAGAGATTTCTTTTAAATATTTTATGTTGTTAGATGAAGTCAAAAATCCAGTATATAAACTGTTTTAATATTTAGCGCATATTCCAAAATGTTTGCATTTATGCATCATTAAAGTAGTTTTAATTAACCGTGTTTAAATTACATTAAAACATGGTTCTCAGATCAGTACTAGCCTACAGACTGTTTGTGGTAAAGTTTTAGTTTTCTGACAGGTTGTATAACATTTTGTAACTTATTAAACAGTATAACAGAAACATTATTATAACAGATTTATTAAAGAGAATAAATGTTATAATATTGTTTGTGGACACACGTTAAAATTTAAAATAAAATATAGTAATTGAAGTTAAAACTTTCAGACATTTAAATTATATTTCATAATAATTGAGAGTAATATCACTACAAATCGCATATTCTAATGAACAATTGTTGCTTAGTAATCACTTTATTATAAAATAACAAAATAAATAAAGTTGAATTCTGGTATTTTTGAAACCGTGCCAGTGATTTATTTTAATTCAAACACAAATTATTTATCGTATTTATACAGACACTTAGCAAATCACAGAATTGGCAAATCACAGAACTGAATAAAATTTAATTCTGTGATTTGCCAAGTGTCTGTATAAATACGATAAATAATGTGTATTTGAATTAAAATAAAGTTGAAGTTGATATTTCTATTTTTCGTTTAGTGTTAAATTAATAAATTTTTATAAATAAATATACTTAATTCTCTGTAAAAATAAATTTACAATAGTTTATATGCATAAGAAAGTTCCTAAATAAAAGAAGTTATTATCTCTTGCAAGTACTTTTGAAGGTTTAATTTACATATGTAAAGATTGTCAGAATGATTTTCTTTTCTCTTCATTAAAATTTATAAAAATGTTTAATCTGAGCCCCTGTTTGCAGTTTGTGTAATAATGTAAAAGTGCATGTGAATATAGAAAACTAAACATACTTTTATTTAAGAAATATCCAAATTTCTTCTCTAATTTTGCATTTCAAAACTAAATAAATTTATCCTCGTATTTTATTATACGAAACATTGACATAGCTTTTTATTTTTGAAACCTTCGTTTAAAGTCTTTAATTATGTTAGTGTAACCTCTAAATAAAAAATACTCTATTTGAAATAAAAGTAATTTTGTGGCTTGAACTCCAAGGAAATCTATACCGTGACCTTTTTTTTTTTTTTTTTTTTTTTTTTTTTTTTTTTTTTTTTTTTTTTTTTTTTTTTTTTTTTTTTTTTTTTTTTTTTTTTTTTTTTTTTTTTTTTTTTTTTTTTTTTTTTTTTTTTTTTTTTTTTTTTTTTTTTTTTTTTTTTTTTTTTTTTTTTTTTTTTTTTTTTTTTTTTTTTTTTTTTTTTTTTTTTTTTTTTTTTTTTTTTTTTTTTTTTTTTTTTTTTTTTTTTTTTTTTTTTTTTTTTTTTTTTTTTTTTTTTTTTTTTTTTTTTTTTTTTTTTTTTTTTTTTTTTTTTTTTTTTTTTTTTTTTTTTTTTTTTTTTTTTTTTTTTTTTTTTTTTTTTTTTTTTTTTTTTTTTTTTTTTTTTTTTTTTTTTTTTTTTTTTTTTTTTTTTTTTTTTTTTTTTTTTTTTTTTTTTTTTTTTTTTTTTTTTTTTTTTTTTTTTTTTTTTTTTTTTTTTTTTTTTTTTTTTTTTTTTTTTTTTTTTTTTTTTTTTTTTTTTTTTTTTTTTTTTTTTTTTTTTTTTTTTTTTTTTTTTTTTTTTTTTTTTTTTTTTTTTTTTTTTTTTTTTTTTTTTTTTTTTTTTTTTTTTTTTTTTTTTTTTTTTTTTTTTTTTTTTTTTTTTTTTTTTTTTTTTTTTTTTTTTTTTTTTTTTNGATGGGTATATACACATACACTTGAGCCAACACCAAGCTCGGACTTAGAACCGTCTGTGAAGATGTAAACGTCACTTGGAATAGCAGGCCCAGTAGTAGGGATAGGATCAAGAGACACATCAGGCAGGTGGAAATCGGTAGGGTGTAAAGAGCCGTTGAGAACAGCCCACTCGCGTGGGAATAAATGGATACCAGTCCTCCAAAGGAGATGCTCGTGGTGAGTGCTAATGCAATCAGTCCTCACATAGTACTGGAGTACCTTAGCCTGCAGGGCCAGGGGCCATGGAAGAACACCTGCCAGAACTGTCAGTGCATCTGTAGATACTATACCGTGACCTTGGAACTACAAATCCAAAATGGTCACTCCATAGGGAATATTGGTGTTCTGACCTTATGTTTATCGACCTCGTACGGATACCACACTTCCATAGAAAATCATTACACTAAATATCCAACGCCTTCTAATAGCTACAGGGAAAACTAAATGTATTGCATATTGCCAGCTTAAAGGGGTAAATCATTACTAAAGTTTACTTTTATATATACTGACTATTTTATTTATTTATTATTTCAAATTTATTATTGCACGTAAAAAACATATAAATCTACTTAAAACGTAATATATATATATAACTGTTGTAAAAAAATAAAATTTCAAAAAATCCTTTTAAAACAAATTTTGATATTAGTTACAGAAAATTTAAAAAATTTTTGGGTAATAATATAAATTTAAATATTTACATTAGTACATTTTATATTACAAAACCCAACCACTGTAAAATAACCTTACTGTAAATACAAGTCATATAATTTTAGGCTTAGCTAATTTTTTCACTTAAATTTCACCTAAACATAATTTCATATTTCTAACTGAACAAACCAAATATCTTTTTACATCTTTTGGAAGTAAAAATTGATGAGGCTTTTTTTTGTAAAATTTATAAAAAGCAGCGGAACAGTTTTTATTTCCTCATTTCACCGTATTGAGCGTAAATTCAGCGCCCTTTTGTAGGGACAGGAAAGCGAGTTAGCAAATTTGCTAAAGTATCGCATCTGTATTATAATTGTTGTGTCGGCGCCATTTTTGTTTAGCCAATTTTGCTCAAAAAAGAGCAAAACCTACTTACACGAATAAGCTGGGCACGAAAAATCGGGAGTACACTGGGTGGATCCTTAGCATGTCAGACCAAAATTCGAGGAGACTGGAACAATGATTACAGTGCTTAGTCTCTATTCTTTACTGCTGTACTATAGTATGCTTTTTTATGTCTAATGACAGGTGCAATAGCAGCGGGCTAACGAAATTAGCATTGCATCCATGGTCATAGACCGGTAAGCCTTAGTGACTCACAGGATTGTGGGTCTCTGTATTGTTAGCAGCGTTTTGCTTTCTTTGAAATCCCTGATCTCAGAAATGCTTTTCAGATTTCGTATTTTAAGCAGCAGTTCTATTATTTAATTCTATATTATATAAATTCTTTATGTAATTGTAGTACAAATGTTACTTTGATGCAATTTTAAATGATGATTACACGCGAATACGAAAATATGAGATTTTAAGTGTTTTTGACTGTACTGTATAGTGTCGATGATTATAAACGGAGTGTCATAGAACTGACAAATTTAGTTGCTTGAAAAATGTAAATTATATTAAAATTAACAATTTAACTATATTGACAAAAGAAGCATCATATTATTAACGCGCATAAAATCTGGGGCATCTAAATGATTTGGCCTTTCCCTACAGAGTATATTGAAACTTCCTAACAACATACTAACAAGTAAGCTATCCTTTGGGATATAATACAATTAGTGTTGCTAATTTTAGACCATCTAATTCCTAAAAAAACAAAAAAAAAAAATTAAACGTTTCTAAAAACAGTGAGATGTCTTATCGTTACCGGAAATAAAACCGCACGTGATNAAGAAAAGTATTAAAAATTTATAATTCAATTTTTTGGGTCATTGACATTCTGAGGCACAGGGCCTATTAGTCCCTTTGTAGATCCGCCCACTCATGCATTTAGTTCCTAAAAACGAACAATAAATAAATAAATAAATAAATAAACGTTTCTAAAAACAGTGAGATGTCTTATCGTTACCGGAAATAAAACCGCACGTGATTTATATATAAATATTCTAAATATTCGGAATGAATTTAAGCAAAATAAAAATGTGTTTAGAACATCAAGAAAAGGGGCATCACAAATTTTTCATAGATTAGTTTAGTTGCATCTATAGTACGGTCTATAGCAGTGTTTCCCAACCTTTTTTGTGCTATATTCCACCTAAGTCTTTCTAAAATTCTTATGCCCCCCTAACATATACAGCGGCTATACGGTTAACTTAAACTCTGGACGAGTCCATTTTCGAATTGCCCCTTAACAATCCAATTGCCCCCTGTGGGGCGTGGACCCCACGTTGGGAAACACTGGTCTATAGTAAGAGTCCACAATACAAGAAAACGTTAAAATATTTGCTGTCATTAATTTCGAAAAATAAAATTTTATGTTTTATTATTCTTTATGTTTTCAATTATCTGGGATATATACTATGTTTTAAACTATCGAGTGCTTAGGATTCCTAAAAGTAGTCTTAATCCGTCCTACGTATAAAAGCACTATTTCCAATTAAAACAGCAGAAGGAATATTTACAAGTCTATGTTAAATCACTTGACTAAATCAAATACGATTTCAAACGAGTTCTAAATTTACGCGACACGACGCGTTTAATTTGTCAAAAGAAGTCAAATAAGAAAGAGTAAAAGCTTTTCGAATTTTTAACATTTATTCTCAAACTATAAATTATGTTTTTCTTCTTAAAATACAAATCACAACGATTTCTTTCCTTTCGTTCGGACACAACGAACGTACGTCATTCTTAATCACAATTATTCTTAATCACTTAATTGTGTTATTATTAGAAGCGATTGCAAATAATGCAATCGCTTCTAATTGTCTATGCATAGTAGTTCTGAAATACACGAATAATTTTAATGAAAACCAAAATAGTCCTCTTTAAAAATACCCGACGTAAGATATATATATAAAAAAAGGAAATTTTTGAGATTTTAAAAATAGAAGACAGTGCTACAAAGAAATTTCACATTTTCTTCTTCACTTGTAGTCTCATCTGGAAAATTGTAGGCTGGGATGTAATCATTTGTATCCTTCATAACTACTATTAAGTTCGAATTTACTTCCTTTTCAGGAATCGTAACTAAAAATATATAAAAGCTGCGTTTCGGCAATAAATTCGCTTTTCTTAAATACAAAAGCCCGTCTCTAAAGCAAATGCATTTTTCGTACAGAAAATCATGCGAATATGCCGACTTCACACCGACCAAAACATTTATCCCTTTAGGATTCATGTGGATTATTGGAACTTTAATGGCATGCACATAACAGTTTTCACAAAACGATACGTCAGCCATAAATTGAAAATTTGGTTTCATATTAATATTTTTGTTTAACTTACGACGTGCTGTTTGGTTTATGGCAAGAATCGAGGATAAATCATTAATATTCCGGCGTTTACCATTAGCAGATATTGTTTTTGGAAGGAGCGCCACGTTTTTCTCGGCGAGAAATTGTCGTATGGATTGAACTTCCTCTTCTGTTAAAATCTGTTCTTTAATAAAATTGTCCACAATCTGTTTTAAACGATCTGGATCTAGAACAAAAAATCTGATGAAAGAGATGAAAGGTTTCATCACGTCTCTCTTCGATATGTTGGCATTTGTTTCCCTCAATTTGAGAAATGTTTTTTCGACCCACATGCGAAGTCCCATCAACAAATCAAATTCCTCCAGTGATCGGTATAGGGGGATCGTTAATAACTTGTGAATAGTAGTTTCTTCGCACGATCGGAAATAATCGGTACGGAAAATACTTCTATCAGAGAAACTGAATTGATTGAAACAAACACGTTGCAATTGCTTTTCATTGTATTTGCAAGCTAAATCGTGGACACGACAAACATGTGTACTGAGAGTCAACCTGACGAGATAATAGAAACTTCTAGTTTCTAAATGGCTAATGAAGTAACGTTTGCTGAATAAATACATTTCAAATCCTCTATCCGCAGAAGTAAATTCAGGAATTTTGTTATCCAAAAATCTGAAATTGTAGAAAGATTTAAATGTTTATAAATGAAATAATTCTATGATACGCTTCTTGTCTAGTCTTGGTATATATCATACCTGTGAGCACTATGTTTCGTACAGAAAAACTTTTTGGAAAAATAAAGAGATTTTCTAAGGCTTATATTGTGTCCAGTGACGGTGTAATAAGTCTAACAATAAAGAAGGCCAACATAGTGCTCACAAGTATATATCTAAAATGATTCATATAATTGTTTGTTATTTTACATTTACTCGCTTAAAAACACATCATGTTCTACCACATAACATTTTCTTAACAAGCGAAGACATCTGAAGCCATTCAGGTCATATTCTTATAAATCAATGTTTAATTATTGCACGTCGAGATTGCGGCATCGCTAATTCATATGACTAATCTTTTATGGGTAAAATTGCAGATTTAAATGGTAAAATTGCGTTGTGAATGACATTGTTGCGACCTTAACAGAGCTGGCTGTAAAGCATGGCAATAGGAACCATACCTCTAAATGTGACCCTTTCCGAAATTAGTCGCTCTGAATGATGTGATTGGGGCGATATCAGGCGATCCACACTATACCAATAGGAGTAAAACGTCAAAAGAAACTGACGACCGTTAGAGAGATAAGTGACACGTAAACTGATTTCGAGGAGCCTAGCTTTCGAAGGGTTGTCAGTTCCTTTGACATTTTTACACATACGGGCATGGACTACCGCTCTGAAAAGATTCCAATTGCCTCATTTAGAATTGCAATTTCGCCATATCAATTCAAATAAATATTCTTTATTTCCTAATGTTAACACGAGAATCTACAGTTAAAAATAACTATAGAAATACATTTTTATCTAGAACAGTGGTTTCCAATTAGTTTTTCCTGCGTACCAATTCAAGAAAGAGCCCAAACTCGCGTACCCCTTATAGCAGAAATTCATATTAATCTATACTAATATTATAAATTCGAAGGTAATTCTATCTGTCTGTCTGTCACCTTTCCACGTCTAAACCGCTGAACAGGTTTTAATAAAATTTGACACAGATAGCTTACATGTTAGAGATGGACATAGGGTACATTTTACTGCGAGTAAATATCTTACTCCCACAAGAAAATTCGATATAATGCGGGCGAAGCTGTGGGTAGACAGCTAGTGATAAATAGAATAAGTTTTTTTTTACATTTATTACGTTTAAAATACAATTCTAATAATAATGAAAATAACATAAGGTTATTTAATTTTAATGCGACAAATGTGCACGATTTTCTTCGCACAACTTTGTAAAATCTGGTTGCTTTTTGGTCAGCTTCAGTCTCGAGTCATCTTCGAGTTAAAGTCCATGACGATGTTTAGTTTTCATGTTTGTCATGGCCGAAAATCCGTTTTCGCAGAGGTATGTTGTGCAAAATAGTAGTAAATATTTTATTTCCGCTTCGCTGACATGATAATAACGATAATTGTACAATTAACACAAATTGTGTTAATTGTACAATTTTTGTTTCTTGCGTAAGAATTTCGTTTAGGTATCGTCACAAATGCATTTTTTTGATAAAATTTCGAGAATATTTTTATTTATAAATAAACGAATTTGTGCAATCGACATCATGTTGTAAATTGCCGAAGTTTTGAAGCCATTATTTTTTTGATTGCTTCATCTCATGCATTTAAATTTTAAATCGACCGATTTCATATTGCCGTGCGTACCCCTTCATGCAATTTCGCGTAACCCCAGGGGTACGCGTACCACTAATTGGGAGCCATTAGTCTAGAAATACATTTTTGTGTAGAAATAAATTACCAATTATTATCCACAAACGATTGGTTTTAAAAATTATTCTAAATATTTTCAGCGATATTTCAAAACGGTCAAGAGACTTTCTTCATTAAACACGATTATCTTTTAATATATATTCATACTGAAGACAAATTAAGTGACTTATAAAATAGATCTGACAAACCTGGCGAATTGGTTGAGCGTTTCTAATGTCAGAGGTACTTTTAGAAGAAACTTCATTTTGTTCGGACACACCATTATGGAATATTTCAACAATCCCGCCTTTTCCTTCAATGAATTTAGTGACACGACGACAGATTCTTCGTTATCATTGACTATAGTCACTTTGTCATAGTTGAATGTTCCTTCCTCTTCTACGTTCGACATTTTCTCCTAATACTGAAGAGGAAATTGAAATAATAATAAATAAAGATTGTCAGAACCAATATTAAATACTACTCGACGATTTCTTCAAAGTCCAACAATTCCACCACTCTAAAATCACCAGATACACGATTTGTGAAAGCTGCTTCTGTTTATATGCAAATGATTTATTTAATGATTGATGGTGATTACTTTTAAAAAGCACTATTATATATAAATATTTACGTTTAATTCTATAAATTCTTTTGTAAGTAAATGGTTTAACTTTTTAATACTATTTATGTAAACAAAAAGAAAAAAATATTTTTGTGGGAATTGTTTGTATACGGCAACGAGACACGTGAGTGATCTGTCTTTCGTGGAATGACTTCCGGGAGGGATTTTAAAGGGTACGTGGCCACTATTTATGCGTTAAACACGTGGAGAAAACCCGGAAAATCGCACGTGGCAAGCCCATCCTGGCAAGATGCGAATCCACGACCACGATCTCTGTTTAGAGGTTTAATGGGGAATAAAGTACAGTATACAAATTAGCACTTGTATTCATTCACTGCTTCAATTGTTTACTAATTTCAGACCTTATAGAATCTATTTTGTTTTTAAATACAAAGTTTTTTGAATTGATTTCAGCTGTAAAATTAACACAAATTCGAATGTTACTGAATTTTTTTTATGTTAAAATTTTAATTAAGAGTTTTAAAAATCAGAAAATTTAAATTAAAGTGAATTAATGAGATTTGTAAGTTTATTTAATTACATATGAATAATAGAATTGATTTCTAATTAAAATTAATTAATTTCCTGGTAACATTTGGTGAAGCCATCTGTTATGATATTTTATTTTAAAAACATTTATATTTTTAACTATTATAAATGGCAAAAAGCTTAATTTTGAGAATAGGGATGGGTTTTATAAAAAAAAAAAAAAAAAATTTAAACGCTAATAAAAGAGTAAAATCGTCATTGAGTTTGACCCTACTGGAGATACACGACTCCCATTATTTCCCCATCCCCTCGATCTTTAATCACCAGAATTTAATAGCATCAATCTTCCTAATAAATAAATCTTAAATATTTCAGAAATTTTCAACAAAAAGCACAGAGTTTTTAAGCTTAGAAGAGGATGAAAAATCCCGTCCCCCACAATCACTAACAACCATACATATTTTTTTACATTTCACCACGTTTCGAGGTCCTGAGTCGAAAAATGTAAAAATATGGGGATCATTGTTTGACCGATCGCCATACTTTTCCTCTGTTATACACAACAGTCAGGAAAGTAAAAATCCAGCAACGAAGTGCGTAACTTTCGTTGCTGTTATCATCTCTTTAAAAAAATCTCTTATTTTAATCATAATAAATAAAATTGTGTATGGCGCTATCTGTTGTGAAATTTCATTATGAAAAACTTTTTATATTATTGATTATTATAAAATGGCGAAAAGGTTAATTTTGAAAATAGGGATGAGTTTAAAAAGAAAATTGTAAATGATAATAACGAGCAATAGCTTTAAGTCTGACCCTTCTCGAGATATGACACGACCCAATCTATCTCGCCACCCGGCGACCTTCAACCACCAAAATTTAATATAAATCTCCTTATATACAAGTTATCATGCCAAATTCCTTTCTAATCCATTTCTAAATCTTTACCTCATTCTGAGATATTAAATGTAACATACACACAAACAGAACTTGTTGGATTTAGGAGGCTTTAAAATGTGGAAAGATGCAAAAATCCAAAGTCGAGGAGGATCCAACCTATTTTGAAATACTCTTGGCTATTCCAATTAGGATTTCGGAGGGTCACACCTCCAGCAGCCTTGCTTTGTTTTATTATTTACATTGTCCAGCTTATAGACTGTAGGCATATTGGCACACCCAATCACTGACTAAAGTATTCGCTAGTTCCTTTAGTGTAATACTGTATATAAAAAAGAGGGAGGTCAAGCCACCTAACCATCTACAGATGTCTAGAATCCTTTCAAGAATCGGAGTTATATGTAATAATCTCCTTGCAAGCGGTTCGGTCCATTGCCAGAGATTATTACTAATGATGGAACGAATATTCAGTTACTATTCGCTATTCGGCCTATGTTTCGCTATTCGGCGAATACCGAATACCTAAAAACAGGAGTAAGAAATAACAAAAACACAGTAAATTAATCATTTTGATAACTTTCATTAATGGTAACATACATTTCAAGTTTGATTAAGGACAATTTTTTGCTTATTTATGTAAAATATCAAAAGAAAACTAAATTAACTAAGTTATTTTTTAAGAGATCAGAAAAGGTAACATATCAAATGAAAACTACCTACTTATTATGTAGTTTAGTCATCTATATACTCGCATAGAAAAGAACAAGTCCTGATAGGATAATTAACGCAGAGCCAAAACTACTGGTGCTAGAAACTTAAAAATTTGAGAATGTGTTCCTTTTGTAAAGTTTAGGCGTGCTAAGAAAACATTATACGAAATTCAATCCTAAAGGGGTGAAAAAGGTAAAAAATTTGTTTGAAAATTTTTAGTGCGTAGGCATATTAGATCAAAACTTACGTCATAAAAAATGAAAAAATAATAATTAATGATCTGTAAAGCGTTTTTATGAAATCATCCCTTATTATAAACTTGAAAATTAAATTAACTTTTTTGTTTCATTGTACAAAATTATTTATCATAACTGAAGTTCTAGACAGCTTGGTAGCCTGAACGCCCCCAGGCTTTCGCCCGTGCAAGCTAAGCGACTTTCATTACAAGCATTTAGTTTTCCGAAGTCTATGAGAACAATTATTTGGCATTGACAGCCGCGAATTTCGCGCCAATAAGCTGCCTCGACTTGTTCGATTATGTTATCAACTCAATTTCATATTTATTTTCACATTTTCACTTCGCGGTCCTTTTCTGTTCTTTTTCCGTTATTTACACGTATAGGTCATTTCATTGTTATCCACATTTGATATCATCACTTATCATATACTGCCATGACGCTCGTGTCTGTCCGCTACAACTGTCAAGAATTAATGCAATTGGCGAAGCGTAGTGACAGCGGGCCAATAGAGAACAGGATGCGTGATCCTTTCCATAATGCGTTTTGCGCGCCAATTTTCGCGCGTGCGTTAATCAAGCCGTATAGTTTGGCCGAATATACTATTCGTTGCATCACTAATTATTACGCATTGAAATGATCATTGCCCAAGGTTACTCCAGTCTGTCTGGTTGCTTGGCTTAGGCTGCCCCACGCCTGCCCAGGCATGGGCTTCGTTCATCATCGTTAAAGCACATACCTGCTTCTTCTTGTATGTATTGTTTTTCACTTATTGTCATACCACAGTTGCACTGTATATCCACTGTATAGACGCTTCCATTTGTACCAGTGTAACCATTTACTTGTGTTATCAATTTATTTAATTCATTGTAACATTTTTCTGTTCAATAAAGTCCCGGTGCGGCTGGTGACCTCCCCCTTCCCCTTCTCACTTCTCTTTCTCTTTGGCCTCTGCCGCAAATAGCTTTTCCGTCTAATACCTTCTCACTTCTTTTCATCCCCTTTAAATTAAAGGAAATACCATTGAGTAATGCCTTCTAAACTTCCATATGTAAATGTATATGTACTGTGTAAAAATGCTTGGCTTAGGCTGCCTACTTATACCTACTAGGAAAATATCTTTCCTATTCCAGTTTCCCAGGATAGATGTGGTCATTCCAGTGCACAAGAGTTCTTTAAATTTAAGCACCATTCCACCTTGGAGACATAAGGATGTTAAAGCTATACTGGTGAATGGTTCTGCCAACCATCCATCAGTGGGATCCTGTAGTTCACTGCAGGCAAGATTTTGGCTATGGAAATGTGACTCTTTACTCCATAGGTCATGATCCTCAATCTTCCTCCTGACAAACTGATTTACCTGAGATGAAGTGACTGCATTTGTCTGCCCTTTTAGTGTTCAAATATTAGTCTTGTGTCACCAGGAGGGATGCAGAGTTTGAGGCGTGTCTCAGATTCCAGGGGTAAGGTTCCCAGTTTCTCAGCCAATGTAGGTCTTGAATCTGGGAGTTCTGGCATCTCTTGGGACTAGTCAGCGACATTACTTGCAGAAATAATGACTAGCATCTTTCTGTAAGGCCCGATTGTACCAGTCTCTTCCACCATTTTTATACCTACATTCCACTATTACTTCCTACCATTATGCAGCTTTACTTCCGTCTGTTCAAAAGAAGAGGTGTTCCAATTTATTTATAATTGTCTACTTGGACATTACTCATTAATAGGACTTTACACTAGTGTTTAAAAATCAACGCAATAAGGAGAGTTAGTTCAGAAAAAACAAATTTTCTTTATTAAATCACCTGTAGTAGTAACTTTTTCTTTTTCTGTACACTTAAATGTGTTTCGGGCTAACACGCCCTCATCAGCAGTATTACTACAAACCACTACAATAATTAAGATATATTGTATATAAAATAAAAAAAAATAAATTCTCAATAATAATATATGTGTATATTATTATTATATATGTATATATATTAAATATAATAAATAAAGATTATAATAAATAAATAAATAAATATATAAATAATTAATTAAATTTCTTTATAAATATTTACGACTTTCAAAAAGTTCAGTATCTTATCAAGATTTGGCCTCTGGCCCAAAATCTCTTTAAAACTTGCATTTCCAAAATGCTGTCTACGTATCCTCTCAGAGGCAATGCAGTTGTAAAGTATGTGTTTAACACTTACAGTACAGTTACNAAAAAGTAACGATAGTGAAGATTAAGATAATTACATTATAGCCAATTTTACCCGTTTTCACAGAATGCAAGAATTAGGTCCCCCGTTTCCAGACTAATTAGAGACCTGGTCCCAATTCTATTTCTGAACGTCTCCTGTTCATGTCAAGTCAAACGAACTATTTTCAACGTTTCTGGAACGTTTACAATCGTTCTATAATCGAACCAATATTCGAATTTTATGTTCGAATTTAATTCAAATATTGTTCGAATTTGTTCGAACAAATTCGAACAAAACATTCGAAATAAAAAGCCACTTTCAACCACTTTCAACCACTTTCAGCCCCTTATCTCCCGCACCCTTATAGCTATCGAGACGCAACCACCCTGGTGCA